GGGGAAGGTGTCTGTGAACTCCAGGCGGTAAGCAAGCAGGACCACGATGCCCAGCAACACTGACTGCCGGTCAGTCAGAGCAAACACAGGGAGAAAGAAGAGAGGGTGTCAGCGCTTGAACTGAGGCAAGGGAGCCAGAGAAAGAGATGGAGAGAGAAACAGAGAGGAAAGGGACAGAAACTGGGAGATGGAGGCAAAGGTAAGGAAGAGACACACATCAAGACTGAAGTAGAGAAAAAGGCATAGACTAATAGGGGCCGAAGGAGCTCTGGTAGCGTAGTGGTTACAAATCGGGCTGTGAACCGCAAGGTCAGCAGTTCGAAACTACCAGCTGCTCGGCGGGAGAAAGATGAGGCTTTCTGCTCCTGTAAAGATTTACAGCCTTGGAAACCCTGTTCAGGGATGCTATGGGTCGGAACCGACTCGTTGGCACTCAACAACAACAACAATAGGGGCAGAGGAAGGAGCTCTGGTAGCATAGTGGTTACGAATCGGGCTGCTAATCTCATGGTCAGCAGTTCGAAACTACCAGCCGTTCCATGGTAGAAAGATGAGGCTTTCTGCTCCCATAAAGATTTACAGCCTCGGAAACCCTGTACAGGGTTGTTATGAGTCAGAACCGACTCCACGGCACATAACAACAACAAATAGGGGCAGAAAGAGATGGGGAAAGGGGAGAAAGTTCAGGGGTTGGGAGAAACAGAGACGGGAGACTGAGACAGGAGATGGATGGATGGGGGAGAGAGCGTAGTCTGGGCTCAGACTAGAGAGATGAAGGGTGGGTAGTGGAGGGACAGACCGACAGGAAAAGTAATAACATCAGAAGTAGTAATAGCATGTTTACTGTGGAATGGCATCATATCCAGCCTTTTACATCAGTGGATCCATTTTACCCTACAACAGCCATAAGGGACAGATTCTAATTATGCCCATTTTACAAATGAGGAAACTGAAGCTCAGGAGAGAGGGTGTGAAGGAGCCCAGAATTCAGCAGTAAGGACATGGTAGAGTGGGAATGGAATCCAGCGAGGGCAGCTTTGGAGTCCAAGCTCATGTCACTTCTCAAAGGAAGGGACAGCAAGGAAGACAGGGAGTGAAAGATCAGGGAGCGACAGGACTGGCGCTAGAGAGACAGGGGAAATGGATACAGGTGGTGACCTGGCAAGCATGAGGAGAGACATGGAAAGATAGAGACAGGAAGGCAGGAATGCCCCTCAAGAGGGGCTGGGGAGGGTGTCTGGGGGACAGTTGGGGTCCTCACCTCCACGAAGACAAAGCAGGGGATGATGGAGAAACTCCGCTTCAGCTGAGGTCTCCCTCCCGCCATCGTGAAGGCCAGGCCTACGGAGGTGGGAAGGAGTGGGTCTGCCCAGGAGGGCCAAGGGGCAGGGTCACTGAAGTCTGGCCCCTCCCTCTAGCCTGGCTCCGCTTCTTCATATTTAGTCCCACTCTGTTGGTCTCAGCCCCTGCCTCCCCTGATAGTTGGCTTTGTCTCTGTTGGAACCCCAGAACTTTTATAGTGGTCCTTCCCCGCCCCCACCCCACCCCTCAGCCTGAACAGAAGATTCTGATCCCATGCCTTTTAAGAGACGCTCTCCCCTCACTTTCCCCAATCGTGAACCCCACTTGGCCTCCAGAAGGGAGTCCTCCATCTTTATGGGGTTTCTTCTCCAGGACATTTAGGAGGATCCCCAGCTTTTAGGGACCCTATGTGCTTTCAAAGGGGATCTCATGCTCTATGCCCCCTCCTTACCATGCCCTCCCCTAGTCCCTCTCCTGCATGACATCCACAGGGGCCACTCTCCTCCCCATCTGTGTGTCTGGTGTGGGTTGATGGCCAGGCCCTTTTCTCTCCCAGCTGTCTCTCCCCCTCTCCCACCCACCCCTCCTACCAGTCCCATCTGCCTCCCAGTGTCATGTGGGGGCTAGCCCTGCTCTCCCCCTCCCCCCAGCCTACCCTCAGTCCCCAGTGCTCCAGTCACGTGGCTCATCGCCTCTCCCAGCCTGACCTCACCTGTGAAAGTGCCCTATGGCTTCCCACAGGCCGCTGCCACGCCCACAGACTCACGGCCGCCCCTAGCGGCCAGCAGGGTAGGGAGGGTCACCCCCATTGCACAGCTGCAGAAACTGAGGCCCAGGCAGGCGAGCGACGGCACTTTGGGTCCAGTGCCCCATCCACGCAGCTCGCTGTGCAGTGTGACATGTGGAGTGAGGGTCACCAGAGGCCCCAGATGTCAACCTGTCCCCTCACCCTCCCAGACACAACCACTTTTGGGGGCAACCCCAGAGCATCCATCCCAAACACCACAGACTCACACACAAACTATGACGCAATGCTCGTCCATTCTACCATGAGAACACAGAGCCTGCTAGGCTCCAGGGGCTATCCTTGTGGTGAACAAGACAGGCCTGCTCATTCAGACAGGTGCCCAACACCCACAACACACAGAACTCCACACACACACACACACACACACACACACAGCGTGCACACGGCCTGTCACAGACACCCACATACAGAATCATAGGAGCCCATCCAGGAAGCTTCATAACCCCACATACAGGGCCACACAGTGCTCACAGTGCCAGGGCTGTCAAGACACCTGAGAATCACAGCAGAGTCACATCCCACACACAATGGGGGTCACAGACCAGTCACGGTGTCACACCTCCATTCACAAGGCATTCAATCACGGTCACATGCATGAGCTGTCTCTTATGCCACATGGACAGTCATAGGAGAGACAGTGCCATACACAACCAAAGCCACATGGTCACACAAGGGCACATACATGGACCATGACACAGGTTCATACACAAGAGCCACATGGCCACACAAGTGAGGCACACGATCACAGATACACTGGGACACAAGAGCAGCCCCTCACACCGTTAGAACAAACACACAGCCACAAAGGCACCAAAGACAGCCGCTCAGTTACAGGCGACTCAATTACACTCATCGGCACTCACAGCATCTTAGCCACGACAACCACACAGTGACGGTCACAGGAGGCATAGCCACACACAACCATCTCCAAAGCCACACAATCACAGTCATACAGCCATACGACAGTTACACAACTACACACTGGTACAAAATGACAACCACACAATCAATCACCCACATCCATTCTCACCATCGTCGCCCTGAGTCCCCTCCCCCTGTCCAGTCCCAAAGCCTCCGCTCACCGCCTCCCCTTACCTTCCCCTCGTTGGTCCCGGTGGGATCAGAGGGATGGGACTGGCAGGAATCGAGGCCCCAGTTGGACAGACAGATCGAGGGTCGGAAGCCTGCGGGAGGGGGTGCAGGGGGAGCTCCAAGTCCCTCCTCCTCACCAGGTCGAAGTATTCGCCGCCCTAGCCCCCGCTCCACCCAGATGTCCCCCGCACGGCAGGACGAACAGACCCACGGCTGTCACGGCTGGAAGACGCAGAGACAGACGTCGCGGGCCTGGCCGGCCGTGCCGCGCCGTGCCGCGCAGACTCCGCGCCCCAGCCTTAGCAGAGGGCGGGGCGGGGCCTCCGAGCGGCTTATTTGCATAACTTCGTGGGGCGGGGATTCACGACACCTTATTAGCGTGACCCGGGGCGGGGCCTCAGATGCTCTTGGGAAGGGTCATATTAGAATAAAGCTGGGAGGGGGCTGAAGAATGAATGACTGGGTGAAGCCTGATAGGAAGGAGGACAGTTTTAGAGTTCAACCCTGGACTTCACCCCACCCTCTCTGGGCCTCAGTTTTCTCACGTGGGCAATGGGGGCAGCAGTCCAGAGTCACCAGAGTTCACCAGAGAGGAAGTTTAGGTGCCAATGTGGAACAGCCTGTCTGATAGGCAGTGGGGCAGTGGCTGTGTAGCCATTTAGCTGGACAGACTGACCCCTGGTCTTGGGCATATACTAAATCTGACTTCACGCTGTTCACTGACCCTAGACCTACACATCCTGAACAGTCCTTGGCGTCTCTCACCCTCCCCAGTACTGGGGAGTAAATGAAGGGTAGGGGTCCGGCCATAGTGCTGGAAGCAGCAGGAGAAACAATCTAAGGGTGGAAGAGGGTCTCGGCTAGTTTATTTTCTCTCTGGAAGGGCCTTCTTGGGGAGCAGACCCAGCTGCTCAGGCTGTGAAGAGAGGAAATGGGTCAGGGTTCGCTCTCCTCCAGGGTTGGGGCTCAGACCCCAGATGCCCAGGTCAGGAGCTGGGACATTTTGTGGGATTCCAGCGCAGGTCAGGAAGGGAGTGGATGGGGTGGAGCCATGGAGGATCAGTACCGGAGGGGAAGGAGCGGTTCTTGCTCAGAGGTAGCCCGGAATGGTCTTGGTCGGAGTCTGAATCTGAGTCCCAGGAGGGAGGCGGAGGGCTTACACAGCGGTGCCCTTTGTGGCCTGTGGGAGGGACAGCTGTGACCTTTGAGGACCCTATGAATATGAACCCAGTGTCCTCTGATACCTTAGAGATCCTTGATGTGACCCCCACATACCTTGAATGTGACCTGACTTGACACCAAATTCTGACTGTAGTTTTATGATCCTTGAACTATAGCCCAGTGAGCTTTACAAACGATCCTAGTAACCCTGACTGTGACCCCAGGAAGAAACCTCCCATGACCCCTTTAACTGAACCCCAGAAATTACTGGAAGTGACCACAGAATAAGACCCTCCAAATAGGATCTCTGAGCATGACCCTATATGTGAAGCTGGAGATCAAGCCCCCTCACCCATGAGGCTTGAAGTCTTATGGCGGCCTCCCGAGGACCTGGTGAGGCTGTCGATGGAGTTCTGCAGCAAATGCACAGCAGACCTGCAGGGAGAAGACGAGTTGGAGGTCCTGGGAGACCCTGTGCAGGGCTGTGGCAAGAGTGGCCATGGAGGGGCAAGGACCAAGGTGGGTCATAGGAGGAGAGCGAGGTCTAGACTTAGGACTCTATGTTCTAATGGTTGTTGCTTAATCCCCTTGGGAGGTGGGCCAGATGAATGTTAGAGGTCAAGCTGGGGACTGGGCATCACCATATGTCACTCAGCTCCTTTTGGAGGTCAGCCTTCCAGGAACCACTGCCTGTCAGCATCTCCTCAGTCTCCAGCCAGGTCTCATATCCCTGTTGCTTCATCTTGGTCAGGACCTGGGGCCAGAGGATGAGAGAATAACGCTGATGGTGCCATGGAATCAATTACAACTCACAGTCACCCGATAGGACAGAGTAGAGGGTTTCCAAGGTTGTCCTCTTAATGGAAACAAATTGTCTTTTCTCCAGAGGAGCGACTGGTGGGTTCAAACTGCCTACCTTTAACTGAGCAACTAGGGCTTAACTACTGTGCCACCAGAGCCCCTTTGTAAAGATTATTATTATGTGTCATCAAGTTGGTTCCGATTCATAGCGACCCTGTATAGGGTTTCAGAGGAATGGCTGGTGGATTTGAACTGCTGACTTTATAGTTCAAACTGACCGTGTGGTCCAGTGCTTATCCTACGCACTATACAAGGACTCCTTATAAAAGGTTACATAGCTCTATGAACCTGTTCAAAGTAAATTCTGACTCCTGGTGCCTCATGTGTGTCAGAGTAACACTATGCACCATAGGGTTTTCAGTAGTTGATCTTTCAAAAGTAGATGACTCTTCGTTTCCTTTTTATCTTTTGAGATACCTCTGGATGGACTTGAACTTCCAACCTTTTGGTTAGCAGCTGAGTGTGTTAGCCCTTTGCACCACCCAGGGGCTCTTTCAAAGAGTTTGTTGTTGCTGTTGTTAATTACTGTAGAGTTACGCATGAGCCGAGAATACTAGGAAGACATTTACCTATGTTTTATTGATTATGCAAAATCATTAGACTGTGTGGATCATGACACATTTGGGATAACATCATGAAGCATTGGAGTTGCCGAACAGTTCACTGTGCTCACGTGGAAGAAAAGGCCACGTGGACCTAAAGGCAATCGTTTGAACGGAAGAAGAGGATACTGTGTAGTTTAAAATTAGGAAAGGTGTGTGTCAGGCTTATATCCTTTTACCATACTTATTCACTCTAAAATGAAAAAAAATTCAGTCTAAAATAAAATAATAAAAAATGAAAAATTTGTTTATTGGTACAATGGTGAGGATTTTTGTTTTCTTTACATTGAGATGCAATCCATACAAAAGGCTGTGGTCTTTGTCTTTGATCTTCATCCGTATTTTAAGTCCTCTTCATTTTCAGCAAGCAAGGTTGTATCATCTGCATATCACAAATTGTTAATGAGTCTTCCTCCAATCCTGATGCCACGTTTTTCTTCATATAACGCAGCTTCTCGTATTATTTGCTCAGCATACAGGTTGAACAAGTATGGTGAAAGACTACAACCCTGTCGCACACCTTTCTTAATTTTAAACTATTCAGTGTTCCCATGTTCTGTTCAAACGAACTGCATCTTGGTCCATGTACAGATTCCTCATGAGCACAATTAAGTGTTCCAGAATACTCATACTTCGCAATGTTGTCCATAGCTTGTCATGATCCACACAATCGAAGGTCTTTGCATAGTCAATAAAGCACACGTAAACATC